GTGGAATTTGTCATCAGCTAGTGCTATTCACAGCACCTCTCCCCAACCCTCTCTTTCACTGTCTCAGAACAGCTGTTTCTAGAACTCCTTAAGTCTCTTACTCACCTTCTCCCTTTTCATTCAGTCCATCTCCTTTCCTATTCAACCTAGACCCTGTGGCACAGTAATTACTGCAGCCATCTCCTGCCCACAGCCAATATCATCAATGCCCTTGTCTTCCTTGTTCTTTCTTTGACTATATCTGCCTGGGAGAGTTTGAGGAGGAGCATCCAAACTGCAGGCACAGGAATTTGAAGTTCCTTTTAAACTTCTGGAAGTTGATGACACTTGACCTGAGTTTTGATAGACAAATGAAAGTGGGAGAAAGCATATGTAGAGTATATGTAAAAGCACAGAGGAGGAAACAGTAGGGTTTGCCTGGGGAATGACATGTTGTGTATGTCTGCAGCAGGCATCTAGCCCCACAAAGACAGGAAGTAAAACTGCAGAGGCAGCCCCTTGCCAGATGGGAATTGGACCTTGGGCATTAAACCGGAGAATGTGAGCATTATTTTTATAACTGTGAAGAGCAGTTGATACGTTTTTGTACATGACTTTTGTTATAACATTAATGCATACTTATGGAAAATAAGAAATACCAAAAAGCATAAAGAAGAAAATAATAACCTTTCATTTAATTACCCAGAACTCACCACTGTTAAGATTTTGTTGGGATTTGTCCTTTTCTTTTATGCATATTCTTACCTAGTTGAAAGAATGCTATACAAGTAAGTTTATATCTTGCCTTTACACTTAACATTTTAACATAAACAATATTTAATGTTATTGAAACTTCATAAATATTTTAATGTCAGCAAAAAAATTTCATCACATAGATACCGTATCACTTATTTAACTATTCCTGTACAGGAAGAAATGGAGGCAGGGAGATTTCCTGTTGCAAATGATGCCTCAATGTACATATTTGTATGAAGTTAGTTTCTATCAGTGATTTTCATGATCAATACCAAGAAAGAAATTAATGGATCAAGCAGCAAGGAAGTTTTATACTCAGTAAAATTGGCCAAATTTTTTCCTTCCTACCAGTTTACGTTTTCAGTGTGAAAGTATGCACACTGCATGTTCCCTTCTCCAGCACTTGGTGTTTTCTGTTTGTTTGTTTGTTTGTTTGTTTGTGACAGAGTCTTGCTCTGTCGCCCAGGCTGGAGTGCAGTGGTGCGATCTTGGCTCACTGCAATCTCTGCCTCCCGGGTTCAAGCGATTCTCCTGTCTCAGCCTCCCAAATAGCTGGGATTACAGGCACCCACCACCACACCCGGCTTATTATTTTTTATTTTTATTTTTTTGCATTTTTGGTGGAGACAGGGTTTCACCATATTGGCCAAGCTAGCCTTGAACTCCTGACCTCAGATGATCCGCCTGCCTCAGCCTCCCAAAGTGCTGGGATTACAGGCGGGAGCCACCGCGCCCGGCCAGCCCTTGGTATTATAACGGGTGCCACTGAGGATTTTTCATATGTGGATGACATAATCAGATTTGCATTTCCTGGAGGCTGAACTGAATGGGCCAGATTGGAACCCCTACTGTCGTCCTTGCTTTTCCTCCCTTGCCTCCACATTCTCCTTTTTCTATTTTCCCATTTGTTATCATCCTCTTTTCTTGGAGCGCTTATATTATGTGTTCACTACACGCAAAACACTGTACAAGGCTTTGCTACCAAGAAATAAATGAGAGCAGCACTGAAAGTCCTAGCTCTATGGATGCGACAAGCTCATGCTGGCCCAGAGACCCTCTTCCTCTAGCTCTGGCCAAAAAGAGTCTCTGGACAGTAATTCTCCTGAGGAAATAATACATTTTATATTTCACAATGAAATTGCCAAGTGGGTTTATTGCTTAATTATTTTTTTTTCTTCATCCTGTGACCTTCCAGCCCCACCCATGATCATCCCTGTGCCTGGAATGTCCTTCTTCCTTCCTCTTTTCAAACCAAAAATTACCTTGGTGCTCATTCATCCTTCAAGACCTCTTTTAGAGCTCTGGAACACCTGCCTTCTGTACCTTGCCCCAGCAGAATCAGTCACTCAGGTTTCCTTGATCCTGCAGTCCAATTACAGCATTTTCTACACCTAACTTGGTTTCTCCCTCTTGGCTAAGAGCCCTTCAACAATAGAACATTTTGCATCCCAACTCTTACAAGACAGTGTCTGGCACCGAGTTGTTACTCAGTAACTGTTGAATGAGTGAGTGAGTGAGTGAATGAATTCCTGTTTTACTAAGGTGCATGCATACACATTCCATCTTAAATACTGGTGAGTTGAAGAGTGTAAAGGCAATATGGAGATGACATGAATTGCCAACATCACACCCTGAATCATTGATGCTTAAGGTAAAACAGACACCCGGTATACCAGATGTCTCCATCTAAACATTAATTGTTCTGTGTGCCTAGACACTGACTTGCATTCTGTTCTCTTTCATTTTAATTCCAAATTTAAGTTGTACCTGAGTATCTCTGTGATAGAGGAAGTAAAAGGGATTAAGTGATACCAGAATTTCCCAAAATACATTCCTAAAAAAATGGAAGCTGTGGATTGTTCATAGGCATCACACACAAGAAAAGGGTCTTGTGGTCTTATAACTTTGGGAAACAACGTTACATAGATTTCTTTACCTCAAGACCTCTCTGTAGGCATTCTCGGAAGTAGAAGGAAAGATCAGTTAGGCAATGGTAGAGAATTAAAAGAGCAATCAGGTCTTGCCTCAGTTGTAGTCATCCCAGCCTCTCTCTGCCAGGGAAAACTCAAAGGCAGGATGGCAAACAGTATGCCAAGATCCTAGCCCCTTTCCCTACAAATCTCCTCAGTCCCACATCTGTGTAAGCCCCTGCCCCCACCCACCCACCATGCTGATGAGATCAGCCTTCATTACTTCTCTTCTAGAGCCAGGAAGCAAGGTAATGTGTGGGAAGTGATAGCTGCAAGGTAATGTGTGGGAAGTGATAACAACTTTGGAGTTAAAGCCATTCAACGGGAAAATTTGTTAAAAGACCAAGACATTGTAAAGCTGAAACACTTGAGTCTATTAAGCTCCCTGCTTCTTAGAACATTTTGTTACCAGGGAATGTTTTAAGGAGGGAAAACATTGAACTATCACAGCACCATCAGATACCAAAGCCTGGTACAAAGAACAACATTTTACAAGACATCTGTCTCTGCCACTCAAGAGACTTCTGAAAAGTTCTGCTTCTCTTTTCTCCCCCTCTCTCCTAGCCCAACATCAACCCTCAACCCCCCTCACCCCTAGACATACTCTATACCTTTCTCTCCTCCTCCTCCTCCCTGTTTTCCTCTTCATCCTCCTTCTCTCTCTACCTTACACACACACACACACAAACACACACACGCACATTCATAGCCCATGTTTTCACAGACACTATTGGAATGACACAGTGAGCTAGACCATCCAACGTTATTCAACCCTCTTTGGTAAGAAGGAGGCTAATTAAGTGACTAGAGGTTTAGACATTCACTGTTTATTAGGTCCAAACTCCAGAGAGCCTGGAGCATTCTCCTAAACAAACATTACCCTTTCATGGATTCTTATTCCAAGTCCAAATGAGATGGAGTGTTTAAGGAGAAACAGTATCTTTTCACAAACATGAAGAAAGGAGTATGAGGGGAGAATGTGATTGTCAATAGAGGTAGAGGGGAAAAGCTATGTGCCTGTCACAGAAAGACTGATGCAAGCCGTGTATCTGTTGGCAGCTAATGTCCATTAGTGATCGTCAGTAATTTAGACTAGCAATGTTAACACATTTGTGGTCAGCCCAATGGTTTGTTTAACTGTCTTCACTAGGAATACATCCGTCAAGAGACTGTTTTTTAAACAATAGTTAGCCTTCTAAACAAGAGTAACGACAAACTCAAATATCTCCTTGCCAATCTTAACACTGTTATACTATACCAGGAGGCACTTTACAAGATAGAAGTCACCTGTTAAATAAGCAACAGCATTAACATAGACACAGTTTTCTAGTTTGTAGATATTAAGGGGATGTTAGTGATTAGCCACAACTTATGAGAAAGCTACTTTTGTCTTGGTAGGCAGAGGAATGGAAGCTTTTTAAAAATCTGCCTTTTTATTTTGCTTCTGTTTTAAGTAAATGAAAGTTGTGCTGGAAAAGCGAGTTTTGAGCCCAACATCAAACATTAATGCTGCTATTGCTTTCACAAGCAACTGGGGAGCCACCATCCAAGCCTCAGCAATGCTGAAGAAAAGGACCTCATCTAAGTTCTGAATGAGAAGCAAATCCCACTGTGGGAGACCATTGGTCCTGAGTGACTCTGAGCCTAAGCCTCCAACTTCCTGCCCCTCCTTTTCTACTGTGGGCTCACAGACTCTGATGTTGGTGAAATGTTCTTTTCCTTGGCTTAGATTAGGCACCTGGTGTCCTGAAAGAGGTCACTGGTTTTCCTGAGGATATCCAAGGAGGTTGGCTCACCAGTGACTTACCACAGGCCAAATTTGAGGTTAATTAACCATCAGTCGTTGTCAGTGGGGCCAAATGTTATTCAGACATTCAGAGAAAAGAGACTTGGTCCAGCTTTGGGTAATGGCCCTCATCAACATTCCTTCCTATCCTAGTTCCAAACCAATATATCTTTAGCTGCACTGGGAGGTTGAAAATGATCAGAAATAGCTGGTTTGTCATTTATGTCACTCTACATTTGAAGAGGCTTCTTGATATGGTAACCTATTTATTAGATATATATGATATCTGAATCAAAATCTTTTTTCACTAAAACTGACCATCTCCTCATGAAAAGGTACATTTATTGATCTTTGGGGAAACACCCTATTCAGAGTGAGTATGAAAAAGGTGTTTGGTGGGAGATGAAGGGATACAGACATTGGCCATCTGGGGACCAGACTTTCTGGCCAGAACTTGTCTGAGGAACAGAGAGATGTATATGCACTACTTTTGCTGTCTCACTTTGCAGACCTCAGTGACCAACTCCTTGAAGTGGTGGGGCTAGAAGGAGCCATGGAGATGGGGCAGATCTACACCGGCCTGAAGAGTGCAGGCAGGAGGCTGGCCCAGTGCTCCTCTGTCACCATCAGGTATGCCTCTTTGTCACCAAACAGCCTCTGCATCTCCCCATCTCCCTACACATTCGTGCAGACAACTAAGAAGCCATCTTTGGATTTGAGGGCAGGGAGAGTGCAGCACAAAAGCTTGATGATGTTTGTAAAGAACGTCTTTGTAGACCATTTCCCAAACAGGATGTAATGCGCCCATCTAAAACATCAACTGGAGGACCCGCCACAACCAGTTTGCTGTTCTATTAAACTGACCTGGTGAAGTTCTCTAAACAGGAGTATAAGATTAAATGGTCCAGAGACCAAAGGTCCAACTCCTTGGCATTTTTATATTTGCAAATTAAAATGTTAGATAGATGGCAGAGGGATGCCAGAGGGAACACTGATGAAAAAACGATGTCTCTGCTCTGCTCTGCTCTTTCTCAGACAGTGACCTGAGAAATGCTATTTCCTATATGTCTTTGTATGCTAAGCCATCAACATCAGCAAAACTGGCATAATTGACAGAGAGGATGACAACTCTAGGATATGGACCACACAGGTTAGCCACTGCAGGCTCCTGGAAGAGATGACGTCTAATCGAGAGGATCCTCTGATTTCAGTTGCCTCTGATTAATGAATGCAGCTCATCACACTTTGTCTGAGATTCTTCTCCCACCTGATTATGTCAGAAGTCTTTATTCCTTTCCTTTTTCACTGAATTACTATGGACCAAATCTATTAACACGCCTTGGGGATCACCTAGAGGAGTCCACAGGATGCTGGGTTTCCCAAAGGTATTTGACCACAGAATCCTTTTCTCCCATGGGCAAGTATTATCAGAGCACATTGGAAGAAACTCTGCCCTTGGCACTACATTGCATTCCTCAGAAAGGTCCCCACAGCAGATTCCCTGAGGTCTCTTAGCTGAAGGTCTGCTCCATTGACCCCTTTTCTTCATTTCCTCTTTTTGTTTTCTGTCTTTTCTATTCTCCAAAGCTTTGCTCTCCTTTCTTTCTGAGCTGTTGTCCTGATGCAGTCCCTGTTTTCCAGATTAATTCTTGAGTCCTGTCCATTCTCCAGGACTCTAATACTGAGTAGGTCTAGTCTGTTAACACATCTAAGCCATAACTTATGAAAACCACAGAGAACAGAATATCCTGATCCTTGAGGAATCCAAAAGCCATATATAAGGAGGAGGACTTTTTCTTCACATTCAGTAGCTCTATTTCCAAATAGAAACAGAGGGGGTTAGCCAGGAGCCCCATCCTCCTGGCCATTTCCTGAATACCATCCCCAGCCTCAAGAATCAAAATGCCACTCTTTACTCTTGTTTTTGTTAGTAGATTTATTGTTTTTATTATTAAATACCCTCAGGGTTGATCAGAGAATCATCACATCAGAAGACAGCTTTTCCCTCCCATTTTATAATTTCAAGAACAGAATAGTTGCCAAACCCAGGTGAGGGCTTCCATGTCAATGGGTGATAACTGTTCCCTGCTCACCCAGACCAGAGGCCTCCAAAAGAGCCTGCCTTTTCTTCCAAAGGCAACGTAGTATGAATTCATAACTCTTCTGCAGAGGGACATCAGAAAACTTCATCTCTCTCCTTTTAAAATCTATGGCAGGGTGTGGTGGCTCACACCTTTAATCCCAACACTTTGGGAAGCTGAGGAAGGAAGATTGCTTGAGGCCAGGAGTTCAAGACCAATGGGGGCAACATAGCAAGACCCCCTTCTACAAAAGATTTTTAAATTAACCAGGTGTGGTGATGTGCACCTGTAGTCCTAGCTATTCAGGAGGCCGAGGTAGGAGGATTGCTTGAGCCCAAGAGGTCAAGGCTGTAGTGAGCTATGATCACATGACTGTACTCCAGCCTGAGAAACAGAGTGAGACTCTGTCGCTTTTTTAAAAATCCATATACCAAGGCCAGAAAAGCCTTGTCTCAAGCAAGAAGGCAACACTTTTACCTCTCCTCTGGGGAGAGTATTCCTGGATGACCCCGTTTCCCAGGTAAGCCAGGCCCACAATCCATGCAACCCCAGAGTGTACTTGTTCAGGAGATTTTTTGAAAGAATTGAGGTTGGGCCGGGCGCGGTGGCTCACGCCTATAATCCCAGCACTTTGGGAGGACAAGGCGGGGCAGATCACGAGGTCAGGAAATCGAGACCATCCTGCCCAACACGGTGAAACCCCGTCTCCACTAAAAATACAAAAAAATTAGCTGGGCATGGTGGCAGGCACTTGTAGTCCCAGCTACTTGGGAGGCTGAGGCAGGAGAATGGCGTGAACCCAGGAGGCGGAGCTTGCAGTGAGCCAAGATGGCACCACTGCACTCCAGCCTGGGCGGCAGAGCGAGACTCCATCTCAAAAACAAAACAAAACAAAAAACAGGATTGAGGTTAGAATAGATTGCAAGGCAAGACACACTCAGACCTGAGCTGTATGTTGTATAAATTGGAGACATTACCTCATTGACATGATGCAACCTCTCACTCAACATAGAGACCAGGCCAGTTCCCCTTTCAGAGTGGAGTTTTTGGCATGCACTCCGGGCCTTCTAGCTGATTGTTTGAGGAGCATCTGCTCAGTGGTGGTGCTGCCATGCTCACTGGTCACTGTGTCCCAGACTTCTGTGGATTTCACTGCTCATCCACAGCAGTATTTCTCAAACTGGGGTCTGAGGACCAAGGCAGTAGAATCCCCCATAGTGCTTATTAAAACACAGACCTGGCCGAGCACGGTAGCTCACGCCTGTAATCCCAGCATTTTTGGGAGGCTGAGGCAGGCAGATCACCTGAGGTCGGGAGTTCGAGACCAGCTTGACCAACATGGAGAAACCCCGTCTCTACTAAAAATACAAAAAATTAGCCAGGTGTGGTGGTGCATGCCTGTAATCCCAGCTACTTGGGAGGCTGAAGCAGGAGAATTGCTTGAACCCGGTAGCGAGCCAAGATAGTGCCATTGCACTCCAGCCTGGGCAACAAGAGCAGAACTCCATCTCAAAAAAACAAAACAAAACAAAACACACACACACACACACACACACACACACACACACAGAAACACAGACCACTGGGCCTGGCTCCAGACCTGCCAAGTTAGACTCCCTGAGGTGGTCTCAGAAATCTATTTTTAACAAGTTCTCCAAAAGAGTCTTAGAGAACCACTCTTAGGTGGGCAGATAAGGTTTTCCTACTTCTGTTTTCCTGGTGGGAACAACCTTGATTCTCTCACTTGTAAAAGCTCACTGTGTTCTCTTGGTGTTCTGGGTTCCAGGACAAACAAGCTGCTGCCAATGCAAGTGGATGGAGAACCCTGGATGCAGCCATGTTGCACGGTGAGTCTTGCCAATCTTTGAGACGGGGATGAGCAGCCTTATTTTTGAGCTCTTTTGGGCACTGACTTAATATGAAATCACTGAATCTCAGAGTTGCAGGGATCGTGGAAGACTATCTAGTGCAACCCCTCTTCCACTTTGTTTATCCACCCACTCATTTACCTACCAGCTCCTATCAAACACCTGCTATATGCCAGACACTGTGAGGCACCGGCCACAAAACTGAATGAGACATAGAACTGACTTCGAGGAGTTCACAGTTCTAGTCAGTGAATTCTGAGACTTCGCCTACTGTATCCTGGACAGCCTCAGCTTGAATCATGTCAATGGCAAGGAATTTAGTACCTCAAGAGGAAGACTGTTCTGCTGATGAACAAGTCAAATTGCTTCCTTATGTGGAAGCCAAATCTACACACTTACCTTACCTAGAATTTGGTAGGGTAGCTCCTCTGACTGCTGGAGCTCCCGGGAGAAAATTCCTCGCAGAGCACAGACATGCCTCCCAACCAGTGCACCCACAGCCCTGATAACCTACTTGAAAATTCCACTGAATGAGTCAACACACGGGTTATCTATTTTGTTTATGGCACTATCACCCAGAACGTAGAACAGTGCCTGGTTTGTAACAGTTGCACAATAATATATGTCAAATGATGAATAAAAGATTGAACAAATGAACCAACAAAAATAGAGTATCTCCATTCCCAGACTTACTGTATTCGTTAGCTCTCCTTTTAACACCAGTACCGGAGCCATGCATCCTTCCTTCTTAGAGTTTGTCCTCAGTTAGAAAAGCAGCTAGAATTTCTGTGGTGAAGAGCAATCATTGTTCTGGTTTTCAGGGCCTCTGCTGGGATACTACATGTGTAATACCCTCAATAAGATTGCAGCTATGCAAATTTCAAAAGATAAAGTGGAGTTTCTAAGCTTCCTCACTCTAGTGGAGTATTCAGATACTTTGATCACCTGCTATTTTGAGCCCTTTAGAACATCAAGTTGTCTTCTACTAGAGAGAGGGTTTCCTGAACCTGCTGAGAAAAGGTAGCATCTTCTATAAAGGTTATCAAAAACAGAAATTTCTCTGCAAAAATCTTACCTCGATCTTATGAAGACTAAGAAAAAAATGAAAACACACTCTATCAAATAATGGCTTTCCACCCTGCTGAAGTTAGGACGGACGGAGGGAGTTTCTACTGTTTATCATTTGATGGAACTGAATTGAGAAGAATCTATCCAAGCTCCTCCTATCTCCGACCCCCCTACAAAAAAAAAGGTGGAAGAAATCAAATGCTGTCCTACCTGGTTCAGTCCTAGCTGAAAACTGGATTGCTATTCCTATAAATTCAAGCACTGGATTTTGAAGTAGCTAAATACTTCTCCCTATGCCCACACCCACCCTTCCTCCACACCAGCCTTTAGAGATTGCAACTCACTATGAAAAAATTTGTGAACCAATGATTTCATAGTGTGAGGTCCAGAAATCCATATGTAAAGGTATATTCATCTGCTTTGACTGCCATAATAGAATACCACAGACTGACAGCTTAAACAACAGAAATTATTTTCTCACAGTTCTGGAGGCTGACAACACAAGACCAAGGTGCCAGAAGGGCTGGTTTCTGGGGAAGCCTCTCTTCCTGACTTCCAATGGCCGCCTTCTTGTTATATCGTCACATGGCTTTTCCTCTGTGTTTGCACACTCCTTTCTCTTCTTAAAGGAACACCAGTTCTAATGGATTAGGGCCCCACCCTTGTGACCTCATTTAACCTTAATTACCTCCTTGAAGGCCCTATATACAGATATAGTCACATTGGGGGTTAGGGATTCAACATATGAATTTGGGGGAACACAATTTAGTCCATAACAGAAGGTAACAGAAAATCATTCTTAAACTTGCAAGGGTTAAAACCCATGTACCTCTTGTTGAAACATCTTCTTGAAGGTATACACCAACTAAGAAGTGATTCAAAATTAAAGCCTTAAGAATGGACTATCGCAGCCCAAAAGAACTTTTGGTAAAAATGGAAACCACTGAAATTAGAATGAAGTTTCCAAAAACCTGCTAAATATGGTTATGCAACTAAATGCTAATGGCAAAAATCATTCTTTGAAAGTGAAGACATATCATGTGAACATTAATAACCTGTATCCCAAACCTAAGATTATGTTAACAAAGGCCAAAAACGCAGGAGACACTGCTGAAGGAATAGTAAAGATACGTGAAGTTTCTCATTGTCTCTCTTCACTTTGATGATAAAACATATAAATCAGAAGACAATTTTAATAGGTAGACAATCACTAGTGAAACTAAAAATAGGGCGCACGCCTTTCAAATCTGGAAGAATTCAAAATATATAAACTCTATTAATGTAGCACAGGATAGAAAGCAAAAAATGAGCCAACATTTAAACATTTTTTGAATCAAGTCAAATGATGTTAAGACTATATATACACACACACACATATATATACACATATACATATATATACACACATATATTACACATATATAAAAGAAAAATAGATGAGTTAAAGTTCCCTATTAAAAGACCAATACTCTCATATTGAGTTAAAAATGAAAATCCAAGTATATGCTGCTTACAAAAGATACATCTAAAATGAAAGGTTATACGTATGTATATATAATGTATATCTTCTTATTTTATCCTTTATCAGGTACAGAGAAATTAAAAGGAAGAAATAGTAATGTTAATTGTGCTAATTTTAGACAAACTAACCTTCCCATGTGCCTAAAGCATAAAGCAGAATAAGTAAATGCATTTTTTATTTGATAAAAAGTACACTCAATTATGAGATATAGTGGTCATAAAATGTTAGATATTTAATAACAGAATAAAAATATATACTGTGAAAAAATATCAATATATATTCTGAGAAAAGGTTGATATAGAAGAAGTTGACAGACAGATATTGAGAAGCTTTAAAATATTTGTTTCCATCTTTGAGGCTCAGTAGCCAAAAAAAAAAAAAAAAAAAAAAAAAAAAGGCTTGGATGAAATAACTCTATAACTCATAAAGAAATTAAATATCATATTTGTTCAAGCATTCATATTTACTAAAATAGATCAGAAACTAGTTTACAAGGCAAAAAGCACCATAAAACCCAGTTGCAGAAATTATAAAGGTCATTTTCTTTGACCACAAAGTAATAAAACTAGAAATTACTAATAGAAGATTAAGTGAATAAACAAAATTTAGTCACTTGGAGACTTAAAAATTCTCCTAAACAAGAGATTTATGAGGAGATCAAAGCCACCATGGTTGATTACTCAAAAAATTATAAAAATAAGAAGACTCCAGTTTAAAAATTATAGAATATAACCTAAACTATGTTTGGAAGTAAATTCAAAGCCTCATAATCTTCCATCATATAAAAAAGAAATAAAATGTAATGAATAATACTAAAATTAGAAGAGCAATAATAAAACAATCTTAGGAGAAGCAGAAGGAAGAAAATAATAAAGATAAAAGTAGAAATTAAATAATGAAAAACAGGAAACTCTAGAACTAGTTCTTAAAATATGTCAAATGTTTGAAAACCTAATTTTTAAAAGACAAAGGAATCAAAGATATTAAAATGTAAAAAACATAAATGTAATATAAAAATATAAATATAACTGTTTCCATGGCTTTATTTAAAGATAAAACAAGGCTGGGTGTGGTGGCTCACGCCTATAATCCCAGCACTATGGGAGGCTGAGGCACGAGGATTACCTTGAGGTCAGGAGTTTGAGACCAGCCTGACCAACATGGCTAAACTCCATCTGTACCAAAAATACAAAAATTAGCCAGGCATGGTGGCCCATCCCTGTAATTCCAGCTACTTGGGAGGCTGAGGCATGAGAATTGCTTCAACCCAGAGGCAGAGGTTGCAGTGAACCAAGATCACGCTACTGCACTCCAGCCTGGGTGATGGAGTGAGACTCTGTCTCAAAAAAAAAAAAAAAAAAAAAAAAAAAAAAAATTTATATCTATATATATATATATGTATATATATAAAACAAAATACATAATCATCTTGATTCTAATGAACTTGAACATCTTAAGAAGATGAGTGAAAATCCTGGTAACCATTAATGAAATCAAATTATTTCGAAGAATTACATACTAAATGATCTTAAAACAGGTGGCCTTATTGGGGAGATCTTCCATACTACTAGGAAATACATACTTAGGTAAAACTATTTCATAGTATAGACAATGATGGAAAGCTACTGAATCCATTTTGTGAAATGAAGACATGCAATAACCTAACAAAAATTACACTTAAAAATAGAAAACTATAGACCACTCCCAAATATAAATATGACATAAGAATTATAGTTAAAAGTATTGGAAGGTAGAATTGAACAATGTATTAAAAGAATCATTCACCCCTCTGAGCATATCAAAGGAACAAAAGAAAGTCTTCTAATATTACTTTAAATAGAAAAATTACATGATAAAATAGATGACCCAAAAGTATTCAATTACATTCAACATTTCTGATTTTTAAAGATAAAAACTCTTGAAAACTAAGATCAGAAGGCTTCTCCCCCACTAGTGAACACCTTTGTTAAATATATGTTAAACCATAACCGATATTTTACCTAATAGTAAAACACTAGAGGAATTTTCACTAAAATCATGAACCAGACATGTACTTTTAACATTGGAAATTTTAGCCAATGCAATATATACTTGAAGCAGAAAAGAAATATAATTATTTAGAAAAGAGTCAAAACTGTCATTAGTTGTAGGTGGTAAGATTATGTACATTAAAAGCTAATAGAATAAACTGAAAATCTCAAAGGATAAATTACTTCAATAAAACCCTATAGGAAAATGGACAAATATTAGTAGTTTTCCTATATACTGGCAATAATCAATTCAAATAATATAATTAAAAGCTTAAAATATCATTATATAAGCAACAAAAGACATAAAATACTAAACTGAACTGTGTAAAATAAAGATGACTATAAGATTTAACCAATAA